TTGGTCATGGCAGTTTTAGGTAGAAAGGCCATAAGCTAGGTATTAAAAGAAGACTTGATGCTAAGCACAGAGAACACAAAGAAACTACTTTCTGTTCTTTGGAAACTTATGCTCTACCTTATACTAGAAATGATATTCCAAAGCAAGTACTACTTCCTACCTCCACAGCTAGTGAGAAGGGTCATCAAGGAGATTACAGAGCCAGGTGATAGAGAAGATTTCCTTGGGGAAAGTTATGGTAACAGGGGCCCGTGCCTTCAAGGGAGAAGGGTGCTTGTCCCATACATAAAGCCTGGGAGAAAAGGCTTCAAAAGACCCCTTGAAGAGCTTGATATGTGTGGCAAGCACTTTGAAGAATCTACTGACCTGGTACCTGATTCATCCTGGGAAAATCAAAAGGATGAAAAGCTGGATGAATAGGCACGTGAGAACAAGAGAGATGGCTGAACTGGAACCACTACTACAGTTTTCGCAAAGAATGAGGGCCCCCTGTGGACCAAATGTGGGCCCTATGGGAGAGGGATGGAGCAAGCGGCGGTGGGGTCACACGGGTCCCTCCAAGAGGGTTATCTGGAGTTTGCACAGACCTCAGCAAAATGAAGACGGAGGTACTGCTGGCTCCCAGAGGCTGAGGAAGAATGCAGCACCACTGTCAAGGAACTTGAGGTGAAAATCTCAAGCAACTGAGGTGGGAGTTAGAGGATCTACAAGTAAAAGAATGAGCTTTAAACATCTAGCTTCTTCACTAATCAAGTAAAACTTTGCTCCTCCTCTTTCCTCTCTTCCCTTCTTCCTTATCCAACTTTGAAGGGGTCAGAAACCCACACTGGCAAGACAAAGGAGGAAGAAGAGAAAAGCCAATGATGCTCCCCTTCCACAATTATTGGCCTCCCCCTTGCAACAGACAGAGTGAGAGTAATTATGAAAGCAGAAGCTTCATCTTTATTGCAGGTTCAGTCTGCAGTTTTTACTTGTTGACACCGGACAATTTAATAATGAAGTTGAGATTCTGCAACTTAGTTACTAAAGGACGATTTGTATTATCAAAGTCATCTAAGAGCAACCAGGAAAGTTTGTCCATGGCAGAGGATGAACCAGCCTCACAGAGTAAACTGAAAAGGTCAAAAAAGGGGAGAAAAAGTAAATTGAAAGTGACAGAAATAAAGCTCTTTATAATTATGTCCCACAAGGCCTGCTTTTCAACCTAATGCACTAAAGCGTAAACACACTGGAGGGTACGGAAATACACGAATGTGGTTTTATAAAATATAACTGAATCCATCCAGCTTCTCTGCCTATTCTGAGATGGTTCAGATATTAACATTTCCAGAAATATGCCACAACGTAGCTCAAGACCGGAATATTAATTCTTAAAACTTGACATGAGTGACCTAAATATGCTAGCCTCACTTTAAAAGGCAGAGACTGTGTCTTGCTCCCTGTGGTAGCTCTAACGTTGAGCGAAGTCCCTCTTACATAAAAGGTGCTTAAAGAACTGCTGTTCTTCTTACCATGAGGAGGCTGCTGTGTTAGGCTCTTAGGAAATATGATCTGAACAAATACATAAAGCCACCCTCCTTTTTAGTTAAAAATATACTGAGCTTTACTATGTGCAAAATTATAAAATAGATTAATTTCATGCCTGTTCTTTCATAGCCAGCCAAATCTCTGAAACATGCATACTGTATTTTCAGTACTATACTACAATGAAGAATAAATGTGAAACCTTTAATATTTGACATTCGAATAGGAGAAAAATGACTATTGTATATATTTTTAGAGTTTAGCAGAAAACCCTCAAAAACCCCACTATCACATAATGCTATTAAATGCAGAATTTATTTTATTTTAAAAATATATTACCCATATTTTATTAACACTTTGTTTGTTGGCATATGTCTTTTCAGTGCTAGCCTGAATTAAGAGCCTACTATGTGCCACATGCAACACACTGTCTTGAGATAAAACTCTCACCCCACCACTTACGAGTATTGTGACCTTGAGTAAGTCACTAAACCTTAAGCCTCAGTTTCTTAATCTTTAAAATAGGGATGATAAAACCTATCTTAGAGAATTGTATTGTATGTGGCACATAGCAGGCTCTTAATTCAGGAACTTGAAGTGAAAATTTCAAGCAACTGAGGTGAGAGGTAGAGGATCCACAAGTGAAAGAATGAGCTTGAAACATCTGCCAAGGCTACATTTAAGCACTGAAGGTAGATTACCATCTAGCTTCTTCACTAATAAAGTAAAACTTTGTTGCTCTTTCCTCTCTTCCAACAGTGTGTCAAATTCCCAAGGAATGCTCTTAGTTGTAGTGCTGCTATAATGCTGACAAGTTCTACTGACTCCTTTCCAAAAGAAATAAAATACAATTTTCATGGTTACCTTTATAATGTCCAATTATGAAATATAAGCTAGTGTTAAGTTCTGACCATAGTTCTACTAACATACCTCTGCTGATAAGAATTTATTAATAAATTCTTCACCAGGGAAAACTCTATATAGCAGATACTAGTAAAGTTTGTAACAGTGTGTATGTGTATGTGTGTGTGTATATATATACTCATGATGTCATGTTTATGGTATGGTATTTACAACTTATTGTATGTCATTGCAAAATTTGACAGTTTTCAAAATGTCAAATAAGGAAAGCAAGATTTATTATGTTTTCAGAAACTGAAGGGCATTGGCAGCAACAGAGTCCTATTATCAGATTGTTTCATTCTCAGGCCTTAGTAAATAAAGGCAAGAGATAGGAGTGGGAAAACCCCTAGATATTTCAGTATAAGTCAGTGGTTCTTAATATGGGATGATTTTGCCCCCACTACCCTGCCCCATCCCGGGAAAATGTGGTAAAGTCTGGAGACATATTTATTGTCACAACTGCGGGGGGAGAGGAGGTGCTACTGGCACCCACCGAGTAGTGCCAGGTACGCTGCTAAACATCCTATAAGGCACAGAATAGCCCACAATAACAATGGAATTATCCTGTCCAAAATGTCAATAGTGTGATGTTGAGAAATCCTAATATGTGGGATTAAATGTCTGAGGCACTTATCAGAGGGGGTGGAGTGTTTAGAGACTGTAACTACAAACAAGAAATCAGAGTTTAACACCCAGTGAAGAGTAGGTGTGGCCCTCAAGGGGTGTGAGAGCACTGGCCTGGGAGCATCCTGCTGTCTCATTAGATTTGAGGTGGGTTGCATAACAGGATGATGTGATAGCAGCTTCCATTCAATACTCCCATCTTTACCAGTGGTGCTGAACTGTTTTTTCTGATAAAAGAGCAGGAAATTGAAAAAGTATAAGTAGAAAGGAACAAAGTTTACTGAAGAGAGGAGAAACAGCTTTTTTATTAAACAGTACACAGTCCCCGTACCAAATTATTGAGTGTTTTATTACTTACAGCAGGGGTCTAGAGGGTTACAATCTAAAATAAGAACAATGGGTGTGTGAACACATCATAAGAGAAAATCAGAATAAATATTCATGTGTTTCATTCTGGACATCAGTATTCTGAAGATCAAACACTATGTATTGTAGGAAGCCTGGCTTTTAGCCCCATATGTGTAAATGCTCTGATAATACACCACTATTGTTCCGTCCTAGATCTTCCTTTCCCTGAATTTGGGGACCCTCTGTCACAAGAGCAAATAGAAAAAACTGGACATACAACAGCCTCTGAGATGGTGCTGACATAAAACAAGAACCAAACAAAACAAAAAACAAGGGAACCTCACAAAATGTTTCCTCGTTTTGAATGGCTGAGTTTTACCACTATGCACCTGCACCTTTTTTTTTTTTGCACCTTTTCTTTTGCTCTTCCATTTGCTTCTTCATTCTTTAGTTTTTTCATGTTATTTTTCTTTCAATCCTCAATCACATTTCTTCACTAAAATCTTTTTACCCTCTTTTTCATCCCTTTTTCACTCCTATTTCCCTTCTTTCCTCTGGTCCAATTCTAATGTCTTATTTTACTCTCTCAAAAGTGCCAACTAGTAATGGAATTATACAATGAGAATTTTGGAGTCAAGTCAGGCTGTAGAGGCTATCTTGTAGTAAGCCCCACAATGCCCACCTCTCTTCAGCATACTGACACTCCTAGCAAGTGGTTAGCAGACTCAGCTTAAACACTTTAAGGTACACCACATCTACTAACTTTCAGCAACCACAAATCACTTCCCACTGAAGCATTTATTGCTAGATTGCCGGTGAGATCTCAACAGAGCAACATGATGCATCTGAACTGCTTTCGCTTCACAGACACCAACTCTTTCTCATTATCAACATTCACTAAATTTGAAGAAACGCTCACTAACTTAGGTGCCATCCTAAACTACACTTGGCCAAATTTGCAGGCTATTTGCTCTTTGAAAAGTATATTTTGATAGACTGAAACATTTAACCAAATGCAGACACAGTGTGATTCATCTAATAAGCCTTGTTTGACATTTTGTCAGGATGAGGAATGACTCATTAAATCCCCAAAATGGCATGCAAGGTATGTTTTACTCTCCTACATTCCTGTGAAAGTTTATTCTCCTCTTAACTAAGTAACCAATAAAAGATACTGATTAATTCTGAGGATTTCAGGTCATATTAGGTAAATACGGTACTGTACTTCATAAGTACAGGGGAGCGATGCCTCGTGGAGCCTTGGCAGATGCATGAGAGCAAAAGTAAAGTGATTTGTTACTGTGGAATAAAGGAAGTAAATCCTAATTTGTTTGGTGCTGGCTTACCCCTAAAGGGCAAGGAGGTGCAAGGCCCATAAACTCAGCCGCGCCGCTGTGCTATCTAGTTTAAATACGCGTTGCCAGCGGTCCACCGAAGTTTGCAGGGTTTTGGAGGTAAGACTCCTCCGGCTGTTGCTTCTCCCGAAAAGCCCCCTTCGACTCGCCCCCGGGACAGGCGCGCTGCCCCGCCGGCGGGCAGGTGAGCCGTGAGCGGCCCGCACGGGGTCGCAGCCGTGCCCGCCCCGCCGCCGCGCCCCGTACCTTGGTGAGCTGGGCGATCTTCTTGCTCATTTTCATGTGCATGTCCTGGCTGTAGTCCATGCTGTGCCCAGCCAGCTGCGCGGCGGTCGGCGAGGGCGCGAATTTGGCCGCCCCGGCGGCCGAGCCGCCGTAATAGTGCTGCTGCCAGCTCATGCCCGGGGTCGCCATCTTCCCCACAGACCCCGGCCGGGGCACCTGTCCCCGCGCTCGGGGGGAGGCCCGCGGAGCGGCGACGTCTGGGAGGCAAGAGCCGGGGCGGCCGCTCCCCAGCCCGACACCCGGCGCCCCCCAGCCTCAGCCGCAGGCGCCCTCCCGCCCGCGACCCCCGCGGTCACCCCCTTCCAGGGACGGGGCGGTCCCGCCGGCCAGGAGCCGCAGGGACAAGGGCGCGGGGCGGACGCCTGGGGTCCAGCGGCGGCGCCCCGGGGTCGGGCCCGCTCTCGCCTGCAGCTAAGCCCGCGCCGGGCGGGGGCGTCGAGGGCTCCGCGGGTCCCGCTCGCGGCCGGCACCCGGGGCCAGGCGAGACGGCCGCAGCTGAGGCTGCGGAGGGAGGAGGAGACGGGGCGGGCCACAGCGGGAGAAGGCGGGGACATGGAGGAGGACGCGGGAGCCGTGGAGCCGCCGTTACCAGGACGCGCGGCCCGCGGAGCGCGCGGGATCGACGACGTCATTTCCCCGCAGTCGAGCCCCGCCCCGCGCCGCCGCGCCAGCGCCGCACCCCCGCGGCCGGCGGGGGCGCCCCCTAAGGGCGCACGGGGGCGGCGCTGCGCGGGCTTCCCGCTCTGGCAGGTGTCCTGGGAGTTCGGGCGCGGGCTGCAAGCCGGGGCGCCGAGCGTGCGGCCTTGTGAAAAAAATTCGGCCAGAGACGAGGGGGCCGTGGTCACCTTTGGTCAAAAGAACGCGTGCCGGTTTACACAGCCTTTCCACGTGCATCCCCGTGAGTGCAGGGCCCCAAGAAGTGGCTCTTCCCCAATAAGACAGGCAAGCTCACATCCAGTTTCCTTCCCACGTGGGTAGTGAAGTAGCGGGGTAATCCCTGCCGTGACCCTTCCTTCCAAACTCACACACGTGTGAGTGTTACATTGTTACAGAAATGCTTCCAGGTCTGTGGGAATTCCAGAAAGGAAGATTTCAATTGGTTATATCTTTTCCGATGCTAGGTAGTCAGTCCCGTTCTAACAGACCTTCCAGAAAAGTCGTCTAATTCCAAGGTTCTGAGTAGGGTAGATGGCCAGAAACAAATATCATGCAAAATTTTGCTCCCTTCTTAAGCACTAATGATTAAATGAAGTTAAAGAGAATTAGGAGCTAGTGTTATTTCATCAAATTCTAGGCATGGAAGATTCACAGTCATTTTAGAACTCTCGTGTTCTTTATAGTCCAAGCCAAAATGTATGCTCAAAAGGTTCACTATATTTCACTAAATTTGTATGGCCAAGTCTTGCCGTGACAAGATGTTTTTGTTTTAGTCACTATAATACAGTGGAAAGAGCATGAGAGTGGAAATAAGGAGACCAATGTGTAGGCTCAGCTGAGTCACCGAACCTGTTCACCCCTAAAGTGCTTCCTCTGAAAAGAGACAATGTTATCAACATGTCCCAGCTCTGACTTCGTGGTTAGAAGTTATGACCCTGGTCCACTAGTAATTCACACTGAACCCCATCACACGAGTTTCTGCCATTGCTCTAGGGCATAGCCCAAAAGGAGCCTTTTCCTAAATGCTATGCTCAAAAGACACCCACTGTCATTCCATAAATTTAATATTTTTACCTGACTACAATGGGATAAAACAGGTCATTTGATATAAAATTCTATTTAATTGTAAGTATTGAATAGAAATGTAAAGAATAATGTACAGGTTGAGTATCTCTTATCCAAAATGCTTGGAACCAAATGTGTTCAGATTTCAGATTTTTTAGAATTGGAATGTTTACATTATACTTACCAGTTCAGCATCCCAAATCCAAAAATCCAAAAACCGAAATGCTCCAGTGAGCATTTCTTTTGAGTGTCATGTTGGTGCTCAAAAAGTTTCAGATTTTGCAGCATTTTGGATTTTGGATTTTGGATTTTCAGGTTTGGGATGCTCGACTGGTAATACACCAACAATCCCATTGCCCAGAATCTCACCTTTTAAAAACCTAGTAAAGGAAGTAGGTATACAATAGGAGAAAAAAGGATAGAAACTAGTTAGGCAAGAAATCTTTATTTAGTGCCTGTTTCTCTCATGAGATTGTTTATGCAGAAATATTGGCTGCCGTGGTGTTCCAGGTGCTTAGGCTGCTGTGATGACTAAGAAGCAATTTCTGTCCTGAATAAATCAGCAATCTCATGGAGAAGACAAAGTAAAGAATAAGGTGCTACACAGTGGGGTGTGAAAGGGACTCCAAGAGTGGCACTTAACCTAGCCTTAGGGTGTTAGAGAAGGCTTCACACACACAAAAAGGTAATGCTCAATACTCAAATGTACTTCTGGAGGGTGGATGAGTTTTTCAGATAAAGGGGATAGGAAGGTAGACTACAGGCTCTGTAAGTAGCAAGAGAAAAGCCTGGAGATGAGATGAGAGCATGACCTATTGAGGGAACAGCAAGTGGTACAGTATGGCTAGAGTAAAGTTTTGAGTGGGATGTCAAAACATGAGGTAGAGCAGGTACCAAGATTACTCATTGGAGGTGGGGGCTTATATACCTTGACAAGGGGAATAGAACTTTATTCTGAAGGCAATCATGAGCTACTGAGGGTTTTAGGCAGGCAAATGAAATAATCAGATTTGTACTTTAGTTACATAAATCTTGTGAGTATGAAAATGGATTACAGGGGCAACTTTATAGACAAAGAGACTAGTGATGAGGCTACTGCACTTATTCAGGTGAGAGACAATGAACCACTGACCTAAAATATGGCAGTGAGAATAGAAAGAAAGAAATGATCTGAAACATCCATAAGGTAAAACGACATGGAGGCTGAGGAAGAGAGAGGGGTCAAGAGCTTCCACCTGAGACAGGGAATAGAGAAGGAGGGACAGATTGGGGAAAATAATTAGTTTGTTGTAGAACACCTTAATGTTTGAGATGCTTATGGGACATCTCCATGGAGATGTTCAGTTGCAATTGGATATAGAATAGGTGAGGTAATATAGTAATCAAATCAGAATACAGCAAGAGAAAGTAAATATTGCTTTCAAGAGGAGACCAGAAGCCATGGGTATGTGAAAAGAGGCATCAGTTTAGGTAGGTTACCATCTGTGACATTCTAAAACTTCTCTTTAAGGAGGAATCATAACCAATGGACGGAAGCATCAGGCTCAAAGGAATAATGAAATGAACTCATTATAATGCAGAACTTTGGCACAGCAGGAAGGAGGTGGGACAGAAGAACAAGCACTGAAAGCAGGTAGGGAAATGAGCTGGAAGTAAAAAGAATTATTGACTATTAGAGCTGGAATGGAACTTCAAGTCCAAACCTCTTATTTTATACATGTTGAAAATCAGAAAGGTTTAGTTGCCAGATTTTCAAAACCAATTAGTAATAGAGCTAGAATTATGAGTAGAAAATCTAAACCTCAGTTCTTTCTGATTTAGTAAATAATAGTTTAAAGCTATGTATAGGAAAATCTCCGTTCTAATATGCTTTGGCTAGAAATGTCTTTATACTAATATTTTCATATACTAATATTTCAATTAAGATTTATACATACTTACTGAATTGTTAGAAATGGTGGGGGGGGGAGAAGAAAGTGATGTTGGTGGCTGCAAAAGCTGATTAATGATGAAGCTAATGAAGTTTGCATGATTTCTTGTGGGGTCTTAGCATAAAATTTAGTAAAAATTAATAAAAATAACACTCTTTATATTTTTTTCTTAAGCCTCCCAAATTGTATATGTTTCAGGCCCCAGAAAACCAACCTTAACCCCAAACAGTAGCACTTAAAGTTAAGAATTAAAATTAGGATTGAGATGTGAACTCAAAAGTTAGTGTACCAAAAGCATAGGCAACAAAGAGAAAAATAGATAAATTGGACTTCAAAATCAAAAACTTTTGTGCTTCAAAGGATACTATAAAGAGAGCGAAAAGGCAGCCCATGGAATGTGAGAAAATATGCACAGATAATATATCTTATAAGGGATTAATATCAAAAATATATAAAGAACTCCTAAAACACAACAACAAAAACAAACAACCCAATTAAAAAATGGACAAAGGACTTACATAGTCATGTCTCTAAAGAAGATATACTAACAGCCAATAAGCACATGAAAAGATGTTACGCGTCAGTTATCATTAGGGAAGTGCAAATCAAAACCACAATGAGAAACCACTTCACATCCATTAGGATGTCTACTCTCAAAAAAACAAAACAAAAACAGAAAAGAAATATTATGTGGAGAAACTGGAACTCTTGTGCACTGCTGGTGGGAATGTAAAATGGCACAGCCATTTTAGTATGGAGGAAAATAGTATGGAGGTTCCTCAGAGAATTAACGTAGAATTATCATATGATCCAGCAATTCTACCTCTAGGTATATACCCAAAAGAATTGAAAGCAAGGACTTGAAAAGATATTTGTACACCAGTGTTCACAGCAGCATTATTCCAGTGTAGTTAAAAGATGGAAGCAACTTGTGTCCATTGACAGATGCATCAATAACCAGAATGCAGAATGTACAACAGAATGTTATTCAGCCTTAAAAAGGCTGACGCTTGCTATATGGATGAGCCTTAAAGGCATTATGCTAAGTGAAATAAGCCAGTTACCAAAGGACAAATACTGTATGATTTCACTTACGTATTAAGTATCTAGAGTAGTCAAATTCATAGAGACAGAAAATAGTGGTTGCCAGGGGCTGGAGGGAGGGGGGAGTGGGGAATTATTATTTAATGGGCATGAAGTTTCAGTTTGGGAAGATGAAAAAGTTCTGGAGATGAGTGGAGGTGATGTTTGTACAGCAATGTGAATGTACTTAATGCACTGAATTATACATTTAAAATGGTTAAAATGGTAAATTGTATTTTATATATATTTTACCACAATAAAAAAAGTGTACACTTCTTTCATCAATGAAAGATACCCTTGCTACTTATGGGAAATCTATTCCAGAGGATAGACAATCAGAGAATGCTGTTCCATCAACCAATAGGCATTTGTTGAGCACTTCCCTCATGGAGGTGAAACAATCATTTCCTACCTGAGGCCGTGGTTAGCTAATGAGGACATCTGGATAGAAGGTTTGAAAGAGGGAAGACGTGGAGGAAATGTTCTTCTTTCTCCTTTTTTCTATTATCTTTCTTCCCATTTGAGCCAGAAGAATCATGGAGATCAAGTTAGGCAGTCAGTTGACAGTGGTACTAAATATCTGCAAAAGCGCCTGGACTAAACATCTACAAAAACCCCTGGCAAGGTTATCTCCAAGGTTCTTTTGAGCTTTCTTCTGTTTTGCATCACAGTGTTATGCCTCTTAAGAAGATTCAGTACTTGAATCTAAGGCCATGCTACAAGGCTTAATAGCATAAAGGACTCAGAATCAATATAGACTATATACAAGCAACTGAGCTACAATGGAATCAATAAACACACCTACTTTGTGTAAGACTTCACACAAATACAGAAACTATTTTGAGTTAACCATT